TACTTTTCTGAAGTAGAAAGCTGTCTTTGACTTGGCAATCTCCACAGGGTATAAGAAGGCAAGCATTAAATGCAATAGTTTGGGCAAAATTGACTTGGTTATGTTAATAACTAGATGGTCAACAATAGAACGAGGAAAGAAAAGAGAGTAATAGAATAGATGAAAAGAGTTAAATTTTTCTTAGCTTTAGTTTGGTAGGGTTTTCCCCTGGTACTACGGCCCACGACTCTGGAGTGGGTGGCGCTTTCTGAGTGAGTGTGATGAGTCCATCCTTTTTTGCTGTAGGGACAGCAGTCTTGGTGGTTAGCAGCACAAGGTAGGGTCCTCCTAAGGCTGGCTCGAGTTTTTCTTCTTTCCACCCTTTGATGAGTATGTGATCTTCAGGCTGGTGCTGGTTTATCAGAAGTTCTAGGGGTGGTACATGTGCTAAAAGACTTATAGTTTTTGAGGGAAAGGAAAGTGGAAGATAAACCAAGTGTATAATTTTTAAGAAATAGACCTTTTGTTTTAAATGTGGGGACCTTGGCAGTGGACTTTACAGTCCTTAGTGCCTTTTTACTAAGAAATTTCCTTTAGCACCTATTTTTATTAATTTTTAAACCAAAGAAAGCCAAAAGCCATTTTACATTTAACAATGCTTCCTGTATGATTTTTATACTAGATAAGCTAAATTTTACCTTTATATTAGTGTGATATTAATGTTAAACCCAATTTTAATAAAACCTTATAGACAGACATATTTATCCAATTTTTAATGTTTGACCATAAGGTAAGATTTTATAGACTCTTTTTTTTTTTTTTTTTTTTTTTTTTGAGACGGAGTCTCGCTGTGCTCCCAGGCTGGAGTGCAGTGGCGTGATCTCGGCTCACTGCAAGCTCCGCCTCCCGGGTTCACGCCATTCTCCCGCCTCAGCCTCCCAAGTAGCTGAGACTACAGGCGCCCGCCACCACCACGCCAGGCTAGTTTTTTGTATTTTTAGTAGAGACGGGGTTTCACCATGTTAGCCAGGATAGTCTTGATCTCCTGACCTCGTGATCCACCCGCCTCGGCCTCCCAAAGTGCTGGGATTACAGGCTTCAGCCACCGCGCCCGGCCTTATAGACTCTTTTTAACCTTTTATAATTTTTGCTAAAGAGCAGGCTGGTGCTTTAAGAAAAACCTGTTATGCTTTTATTTTAATATCCAGTTTACAGAAAAACTGGATGATACCTCTAATTTTAGCCAATGTTTACACACAGAATTTTCTTTCTAATTAACATTTTAAAACTTGATTTAACCTTTAAAACAAAATATACATATTTTTGACCTTTTAATATAGGTACTACTTTACATTCTTATGCCTCCTTGTAATTTTTCTACCAAAAGTACATTTTACTTTCCTTATACACCTTGTACATAAACTGTTTCTTTAATAGTTTTGGCCGGGCGCGGTGGCTCAAGCCTGTAATCCCAGCACTTTGGGAGGCCGAGGCGGGTGGATCACGAGGTCAGGAGATCGAGACCATCCTGGCTAAGATGGCGAAACCCCGTCTCTACTAAAAAATACAAAAAACTAGCTGGGCGAGGTGGCGGGCGCCTGTAGTCCCAGCTACTCGGGAGGCTGAGGCAGGAGAATGGCGTGAACCCGGGAGGCGGAGCTTGCAGTGAGCCGAGATCACGCCACTGCACTCCAGCCTGGGAGCACAGCGAGACTCCGTCTCAAAAAAAAAAAAAAAAAAAAAGTTTTACATTTAGGAGGCCTAATTACTTTTAAATTATACAACATTTCTTGCATGAATTTCCTTTTATAGCCTTTTTTTTATGACTTTCACAGATAATTCTTTGACATGCCTTAACCTTTTTGACTTGTCGCAAACATCCTTTTTTTTTTTTTTTTACAACCAGTTAATTTACTTTAGGACAATAATTTACCATATAACATTCCTTTTCATATAAATTCTCCTCTATTTTAGGACAATAATTTACCATATAACATTCCTCTTTATATAAATTCTCCCCTCCTTTTTTTTTCTAACATTAAGATTACTTTCTAACATAAGATTACTTTAAGATTTTTGAGTTAGTAAGCTACTTTTTTGCTTTTTTGCTTTCGGATAGTTCTGAACTGAACTAGTGAGGTGTGCTTACAATGAGGTTTCCTCTGAAAGTTATTTTTCTACTTTCTTCTGTTAGCAAAGCAGTTGCTGCTACAGGTTGAATATATTTGGGCCATCCGTGGATTACTGAAATAAGGATTTTTGATAGAAGGCTACAGGTTGTCAGTGGCCTCATTTGGCCCCTCTCTGCCTCTGCACCCCTCTCTGCCCCCCTCTCTCTCTCCCTGCCTTTCTCTCTCTTCTCTCCACCTCTCTCTCTTTCTTCTTTGTCTCTCTCTCTCTCTCTCTCTTCTCTGCCTCTCTCTCTCTCCTTTCTGTCTCTGTCTCTCTCTCTCTGCCTCTGCCAGCTGCTTATGCTGCAGTTCTCTCAACCACTGTGGAGGGATCTAAAAGAGGCTGTAACCAAGTGTCTGTGTATAAGAACTGGTCTAGGTGCCCTGGCTTTACAGGTTACCTTGTGCCATGCCTTTGAAACAAGGGACCTGTCCAGGCTTCCTTCTGATGGCCAACCCACCTCTAATGCTGGCCAGTCTATTTTACATAGAGTTCTAAGGTTTCCTGGTGTCATAGTAACTCCATAGTCTTCCTTAAATCTCTTTTTGAAATTTTTCAACATAGTTCCCACTGGGGTGGGCTTACTTTGTGCCTCACCGATGTTTCCTTGAGACAAAATACCACGCTCACACCACACGCACACAACAAAACAAAGAATGGGTAAGAAGGGCACACACACACTTTTACAGTTTACACCACACCAGAATAAAAACCAAAATCAGAGTATCAAGAAATCCAAGCCAGGTCAAAACCAAAACCAAAGTATCAAGCAATCCAAGTCAAGTCAAAAACAAAAACCAAAGTGCCAGTACAGGCACTTTGTGCCGGGCTGTCTGCCTGTGGATGAAGCATGGGTGATCAGGCCATGCTTCCACTCAAATGGAGTAGGCAAGTTCCCAAGACCAGTCGTATCAAGCAATTCAAACCAAGTCAAAACCAAAACCAAAACCAAAGTGCTAATAAAGGCACACCATGGGTGATAAGGCCACGCTTCCACTCAAATGGAGTAGGCAAGTTCCCAAGACCAGTCGTATCAAGCAATTCAAACCAAGTCAAAACCAAAACCAAAACCAAAGTGCTAATAAAGGCACACCATGGGTGATAAGGCCACGCTTCCACTCAAATGGAGTAGGCAAGTTCCAAAGACCAGTTTTACCAAGTTTTAGATGTCCATACTCCAACTGCCCATTCCTTCCCGGTGTTCAGCCACTGCGTTGATCCTCCACAGGGGCCTGCCACACACTGCTCCCACCGGGGCAAATGCCTATCTGGGAGCGCTCTCAGGATCCGTGTCACTAGTGCTGGTCAGAGTCCCCCGCAGAGATGTTCCACAGGGCAAGCTTAAGCTGTCTAAGGAGCTGCCTTGACCATCTGCCAATCACCTTGCTTCCTGGTCAGGGAACCAAGAAATGTAGCAAGATGGGCCGCAGACAAAACCCCTCAGACACCAAGTTAAAGAAGGAAGGGGTTTATTCAGCTGGGAGCATCGGCAAGACTCCTGTCTCAAGAGCCAAGCTCCCCAAGTGAGCAATTCCTGTCCCTCTTAAGGGCTCACAACTGTAAGCGGGTCCACGTGAGAGGGTCGTGATCGATTGAACAAGCAGGGGGTGCGTGACTGGGGGCTGCATGCAACGGTAATCAGAACGGAACAGAATAGGTCAGGGATTTTTACAATGCTTTTCCATACAATGCCTGCAATCTACAGATAACATAACTGGTTAGGTCAGGGGTCGATCTTTAACTACTAGGCCCAGGACATGGCACCAGGCTGTCTGCCTGTGGGTTTCATTTCTGCCTTTTAGTTTTTACTTCTTCTTTCTCTGAAGGAAGAAATTGGGCATAAGACAGTATGAGGGGTGGTCTCCTCCCTTACTACTGTATTTGTTAAATGAATGAATGGATGAGTAAGACATTGTATTCACTTTTAAAGATCTTAAAATCTAGAGAGGAGAGAAACATTGCTGTAGGAGAGAATAAACAAAGGACTGTGAAATCTCTGGAGAAATTGAGATCAGGAAAGGAAGGGAAAATCACAAATGTCAAGCCAGGAGCATCAGGTTAGTTAGATCTGTGCTTTGAGATGAAAACCCCTTACAAATCCCAAGTCAGGGAATGCAGTGGTTCTAGAGCCAACTCTAAATACAATTTCACACATGGGAAATACATCCTACTGGATATCCAGATTAAAAGCATTCAGTAGAGACTGGTGCAGTGGCTCAGGCCTGTAATCCCAGCACTGTGGACTGAGGCAGGCAGATTGCTTAAGCCCAGGAGTTCGAGACCAGCTGGCCAACATGGCAAAAACCCCATCTCTATTAAAAATACAAAAAATTAGCCAGGCATGGTGGTATGTTACTGTAATCCCAGGTACTCAGGAGGCTGAGGTGGGAGGATAACCTGAGGCCAGGAAGTAGAGGCTGCAGTGAACTGTGACCACGCCATTGTGCTCCAGCCTGGGCGACAGAGTAAGACCCTGTCTCAAAAAATAAAATAAAATAAGATATAATAAAATAAAATTAGCCGGGCATGTCGGGAGGCTGAGGTGGGAGGATTGCTTGAGCCCAGGAATTCAAGGCTGTAGTGAGCTCTATCATGCTGCTGCACTCCAGCCTGGACGACAGAGCGAGACCCTAGCTCTTTAAAAGAAAAGGGTTGAGTAAATACTTGTTGACTAATTGCTTGTCACCATTTCTGGAAATAATCGGATTTTTGACAGAGGCCCTGCCCACCTCTTTGATATGGACTTGTACTAATGAACTACAATTCCCAGCATGCGTCAGAATTAGCGCCGTAGAATTTTTTTTTTAAGAAAATATGGCCTACAACTCCCGGCATGCTGCGCTCGGGTTCGCGGACCACACGCCTCAGCCAGCCGGGGCAAGGGCCTATCAGGGGCGAGTCTGGGCATCCGAGCGGGTTTGACGGAAGGAGCGGCGGCGACGGAGGAGGAGGATGGAGGCGGTGGTGTTCGTCTTCTCTCTCCTCGATTGTTGCGCGCTCATCTTCCTTTCGGTCTACTTCGTATCCTTGCCTGAGGCGGGCGGAAGCCTTGCCGGGGGACAGGGCTGAGGGTGGGCCAGTTGGGCACCCAGGCAAGTGTGTGGGACGAGGGAGGCGCTCGGCGACTGGCGTGCGCTCCTTGGGAGCTGGCCTGGCCGGGGCGGTGGCGCGGGCCCCGGGGCGAGGAGGAGAGGCCGGCTGCCCTACCCAACGGCGCGTGCTGCCCTGCACCCACTTGTCCTGCCTGGGCTGCCGGCCGACCCTCACCCGGGTCCGTGTGGGCCTCTCCGGGCGCACCCCTGTTCGGCCTGCGCGTCTGCTTTCAGCTCGTCCCCGCGGCGCCGGGACCAGCCCTGCCTGAGCCACGGCCGCCCTCGGGAGAGAAGGGTCACCGTTTCTCTGGGAGAGGGCCCTTGCCGTGCTCTTCGTCGGGTACTGAGGGTCCTAAGAGGGGTCGCTTGCGACAGTCGGGTGCCGGGACGAGTGCGGGCGATTTGCCTCCTCCTGTTCCCCGGGCAACACCCCCGGTACCCGCCCCTTTGTTCTGGCGGGTGTTGGTACTTGCAGAGACCTTTCACATCCAGGAGTTGACTCATTCGCCAAATGAGCAAAGTTGCTTCCTTCACTGTGCCGATTTGTAGTGAGTGTTGGAAAGGAGTTATTTTAACAACTATCTACAAAGTGATTATTTTGGTTGTCCCCGGTGGTTGTAGATCTGTAAATTCAATAATTACACCTGCTGTTATTGCTGAAACAGCTCGCAGTCGTTTCTCAGCTTTTAAATTTTTCTATCGATCCATGTTAAAACAAGTATTTTCTGTAGCTGTTCACGTTGCAGTATTCAAACTGTATTTTCCAGAGCAATAAATGGTTGTTGAATTTAGCACTGCGGTAGCCATGTCGGCTACAACTCTTCCCAGCTCTTGACGAAGCATCTAGGCTTAGTTGTTGCCCAATGTTGTATTGCACAATCCAGTTTTAAGTAATTAAATATAAGATAGAAAAAACGTATGAGGAACTTGGCATTTCAGCTTCCTTTCTTGAAAATCACATGTACCCGTTTCTGATCGGATTAAACCATTTGCTAGAGCATGCGGGCTTTAGGGTAGTTCTACAGAGTATATGTTCAGTGCAGCTTCATACCTAATTGTGGACTGGCAGCCTGTTGTAGTGGAAGGGGACAAAATTTGGAAATCAGGTTTCCCGCTCAGCCAGTTCTTTGCTGTGCACATTATTTCCCTAAGCCTCAGTTTTCTGATCTTTAAAATAGGAAATGTTTATTTCCTAGATATGCACAATGAGAATGGTGCTGAGCACCCTAGCACAGTGCCTGCCCCATAGCTAATGTTCAGTAAATATTGCTCTGCCTTTGTGTCCCCACCCTCCCCAATTGAGCAGCAGTTTTTACTTGATGGTTTCTAACGACAAGATTTCTGAGTTTTATTAGGTTTGCAGAGCTGATTGAAAGGGCAGCATCACTTGCCTAAGTTTTGATGACCTCTATGCCCCTTTTGTGATACAAGGAACTGGAGCAAGCTTGTCCAATCCACGGCCCGGCATGGGCTGCATGTGGCCCAGGACAGCTTTGAATGTGGCACAACACAAATTTGTAAACTTTCTTAAAACATTGTGATTCTTTTTTGGTGATCTTTTTTTTTTTTTAAGCTTATCAGCTATCATTAGTGTTACTGTATTTTATATGTGGCCCAAGGCAATTCTTCTTCAGGTGTGGCCCAGGGGAACCAAAAGATTGGACACCCCTGAACTAGAGCTTACACTCAGAAATGAAACTGGGTTTTTTCTTTTTGCAGTTTGGAAAACCAGGCTTGATAATTTGAAATAGTCCTGGTTTACACCAATTTATGCCTGTAGACAAATGGTAGGTGGAATGTTTGACTTAGACATTACATTAAAGTACATTCGGTGGTGTTTTGATGAAGTTCAGCATATTCTGTATTTTAGGATAGTTGCACTAACTTAGGGATAGGAGGTGGAAAATGGTCAGGGTAAACTTCATATAGGATATAAGAGGTTTCTTGGACTTTGAACTGTGGACAAAATCTACAGAAAGGGATAGAGGTGAGTATTCCAAATCATACACTGGCAATAGCGAAGGTGCAGAGACAGGTATGTTCGTGGATTTCTGGGCGATGGTTAACAAATAGACCATCTGGAGCACATGGTTGATTTTGGTGGCAGTAGAAGGCTAAATTGGAAAGGCAGGATTACATCAGATTTTGGAGAGCCTGAATGTTAAGGGGGGGAGGGAAGTCTTTCACTTTTATCCTGCAGGCAATAGACAGCCATTGAAAATTTTTATTTTCGGTAGTTTATTAGGAAGATGAATTTGCAGAGTGGGTTGGAAACAAGAAAGATTGGAAGATAAACCAACAGGGGATAGGGTCGTCTGGATTTCAAATAGAGTGCTGGTTGTGGGCAGGTGAAAGGGGGGAATATGTGAGTAGTATTTGGAAGAAATGATTGCTGGGACCTACAAATGATTGATTATGATATATGAAACAGAAGGCAGAGATAGCTTTCCATATTTTGATCCTGGGCAGATGATACTTGTGTCAGTAACAGAAATAAAACAAATTGGAGGAAAATCAATTTGTGGAGAAAGTGATGAGTTTGACTTTATTTTATTTATTTTATTTTTATGTTTATTTTTGAGACAGAGCCTCACTGTGTCACCCAGGCTGGAGTGGAGTGGCACAGTCTTGGCTCACTGCTACCTCCACCTCCTGGGTTCAAGCGATTCTCCTGCCTCAGCCTCCCAAGTAGCTGGGACTACAGGCGCCCACCAAATCTGCTGCTCAGACTTGAGCGCACTGGTGTGATTATAGTTCAGTGTAACTTGAATCCTGGACCCTTGGCATTTTGCTGCCTCGCCCTAGCACTACTGCTACTAATAGCTAGCATTACAGGTGCTCTTGCCCAGCTAATTTAAAAAAAAAACACTTTTTTTTGTAGAAATGGGGGTGAGGCCAGTGAATCACTTGAAGCCAGGAGTTCGAGACCAGCCTGGCTAACATAGCGAAACCCTGTGTCTACCCAAAATACAAAAAATTAGCTGGGTGTGATGGCGTGCACCTATAATTCCAGCTACTTGGGAGGCTGAGGCACAAGAATTGCTTGAACTCAGGAGGCGGAGGTTGCAGTGTGTTGGAATTATGCTACTGCACTACAGCCTGGGCGACAGAGATGGAGGCTTGCTATGTTGCCTATGCTGATCTTGAACTCCTGCTTCAGGCGATGCCTCAGCTTCCCACAGTGCTGGGGTATTTTCCTTTTTTTTTTTTGTAGCCATTGTTTTACCTTTGAGGAACTCAAACTAAATGTTCTGGTTGGGTCAGATTAGATTTGAGCAAAATGGGATTATTTTGTAAAATAATTTGTTGAAGGAACATGAATGGGAAAATTGAGTTGTCTAATGAGCAAACTTTAGGAAACAACTCATTTTTTTTCCAAGTCAAATTTAATTCTGCCTTGTAACTGGGATTGCTTTCTGAAACTTAAATACTTAGTTATTATAAAAGAAATATAATAATTCCTTATCTTGATCATCAGATAATTACATTGTCTGATTTAGAATGTGATTACATTAATGCTAGATCATGTTGCTCGAAATTAAACAAGGTAAGACATTTCTTTGCTCATTTTTTGGCATTGAAGCCAGATCATTTTCCATATTTAAGATTATTATAGATAATAGATGTATTTTTTATTTTAGAGTACTTGTTGTCTCTTATTCATTGGAAACTTGATGGAATTGCTGTGTTTTACAATATTTTAGATCATGAAATTATGCTAGAAGATCTGACTTGAAATTTTGTTTCTTTACATGTTGCTTGTCTCTTGTTTACATGGATAACATCTTTACTCAGAGTAGGGAAATGTTGGTTATGAGGGTAATTGTTTTTGTCTTCTGTGTCGGAACTCCCTCCTCCCACTCATGGAAAAAAGCTCAGGTCTGTCTTTGGATGAATGAAAGAAGACCTTTCTTGTGTAGTTTACTGAGAAAATATATATATATTTTAATATATGACTCTATTTATTTTTTGAGAGACAGGGTTTCTTGCGGTGATGATCAGGCTATTCTTGAATTCCTAGGCTCAAGTGATCTGCCTCAGCCTCCTGAGTAGCTGGGACTATAGCGCACGCCACCACGCCTGGCTAATTTTTTTTTTTTTTTTTTTTGAGATGGAGTCTTGCCGTGTCACCCAGGCTGGAGTACAGTGGTGTGATCTTGGCTCACTGCAACCTCTGCCTCCCAGGTTCAAGTGCTTCTCCTGCCTCAGCCTTCCCAAGTAGCTGGGATTACAGGCACCTGCCACCACACCTGGCTATTTTTTTTTTGTATTTTTCGTACAGATAGGGTTTCACCATATTGGCCAGGCAGGTTTCAAACTCCTAACCTCAAGTGATTCGCCTGCCTCAGCTTCCCAAAGTGTTAGGATTATAGGCGTGAGCCACTGTGCCCAGCCACCTGGCTAATTTTTAAATTTTTTTGTAGACTGGGTCTTGCTATGTGACCTAGACTGGTTTTGAACTTCTGGCCTTAAGCAATCCTGCTGTCTTGGCAAAGTGCTGGGATTACAGGTGTCAGCCACCATGCCTGGCCTAAGCTCCATATTTTAAAAATTTTCATCAATTTTGTTTGATTGTTTAAGGCAGTGTCTCACTCTGTTGCCCAGGCTGGAGTGCAGTGATGCGATCATGGCTCACTGCAGCCTTGACCTCCCAGGCTCAAGAAATCTCCTTCCACCTTAGCATCCCACGTAGCTGGGTTCTACAGGTGTGTGCCATCATACCTGGCTAGTTTTTAAAATTTTTTTGTAGAGATGAAGTTTCACTGTGTTGCCCAGGCTGGTCTGAAATTCCTGGGCTCAAGCGATCTGCCCTCTTTGGCCTCCCAAAGTGTTAGGATTACAGGTATGAGCTACTGTACCCAGCCTCATGTAGCTTCTTGAGATAAGGTAAATGGCAATTAAATTTTGAGGCCTTCCATGTTTGAAAATGTCTTATCTTTTCAATTGATTCATAGTTGTCAGAGTACAGGGTTCTAGGTTGGAAAAGATTTTTCTTTCAGAAATTTAAAGACAACCCTTGGTGGTCTTCCGACTTCCAGTGTTGTTCAAGTTGGGAAGTATCATGCCATTTTTTTTTTTTTTTTTGAGACAGAGTCTCGCTCTGTTGCCCAGGCTGGAGTGCAGTGGTGCAATCTCGGCTCCCTGCAAGCTGCACTTCCCAGGTTCACGCCATTCTCCTGCCTCAGTCTCCTGAGTAACTGGGACTACAGGCACCCGCCACCACGCCCGGCTAATTTTTTTGTATTTTTTAGTGGAGACGGCATTTCACTGTGTTAGCTAGGATGGTCTCGATCTCCTGATCTCATGATCCGCCTGCCTTGGCCTCCCAAAGAATTTCTTATCTTTTTAATATGATTCATTGTCTCTCTCTCTCTCTCTGTCTCTCTCTTTTCCTGTCCTCTGGGGAAGTTTTAGAATCTTTTCTTTATCCCTGGTGTTTTGAAATTTTACAGTGCTATACTGTAAAAACTCTCTATACTTTTATTTATTTTTTTTTGAGACAGAGTCTTGCTCTGTTGCCCAGGCTGGAGTGCAGTGGCGTGATCTCGGCTCACTGCAGCCACCTCCCGGGTTCCGGCCGTTCCCTGCCTCAGCCTCCAAGATAGCTGCGACACAGACACCACCACCCACAACCGCTAATTCTTGTATGTTTACGTAGAACGGTGGGTAAACTGCGTTAGCCAGGAACTGGGTCTCCATCCCTGCCCTGGTGACTGCCGCTCAGCCTCCCAAACTCGCCTGGGTTACAGCATGACCCCCGTGCCCCAGCCTTTTTTTGAGACGGAGTCCCTCTTCCTCAGCCCCCCTAGGATTGCAGGATTGCAGTGGCAATGACTCACTGCAAGCTCTGCTCCCCCAGTTCCACACCATTCCCCTGCTCAACTCCAAGTAGCTTGGGACTACAGGTGCTTACCACATGCCGGCTAATTTGGGTTTTTTGATTTAGTAAGACAGGGTTTCACGTTAGCAGGAGCTCGATCTTCTGACTTGTAACCCTGCAAGGTGCTGGAATTAAGGCATGAGCCACCTGCGCCGGCCCGCTGTACTTCTTAAAGGCCCTTTCTCGTTGGTTCGACTCTGATAGCTCCTTCAATAGAGAAATTTCTGTATCTTCTTTAATTTTCTCCCATCTTTTTCCCTCCTCCTTCACAACTCCCACAACTCAACCATTGATCTGACTTGGATCCTGCCAATTTTTCTTTCTAGTTTCACTTTGATTTTTTTTTTTTTGCTGTTTATTCCCTGCTTTTCTTCGAATTTTCTTTCTATTTTTTTGCGATGGAGTTCACTTTGTCTAGGCGAGTGCAGTGGCGCTATCGTGGCTCACTGCGCACCCTACCCTCGCTGGGTTCAATGACGTCCTCGGCATCTCACCCCAACGTAACCTGGTACAGGTGTGGCCACCATGCTGCTAACTTTCTGTACCTCTAACTAGAGACGAAGCTCACCAGTGGCCAGGGCCGCTCCGAACCCGCTCAGGTGATCTGCTCTCCTCGGCCCCCCCAAGTCTGAGGATTCACAGGCCATGAGCCACTGCAAACAGCCTTCTTCGACACTTTCTAAAACAATGTAGCATTTATGCTAAATGATGATGTTAAGAGATTTATCCTCTGGTTCAGTTGACTCCTAGGCTCTCGAAGAATACTGATTATAGTATTTTTCTATTTTTTTAATTAAACATAGGGTCTTTTTCTCTCATCCAGGCTGAGGTACAGTGGCACAATCATATTTCATTGCAGCCTTGAATTTCTAGGCTCAAGCGATCCTCCCGCCTTAGCATTCCAAGTAGCTGGGACTGCAGATGTGCACTACCATGCCTGGGTGATTATAGTATTTTTGAAATTTTCTTCTGCTTCTTATGTTGTATCTGTTTCCATCAAGTTCTTTTCCTTTCTTTTTTTCCCCTACTCTGTCTTTCATTTTGGAGACTTTCTTCAAATTTCTGATATAGGACTGCCTATTCATATTTAAGGGTAAAGCACTAAAATGCTCATTGAAAGCTCTTTGGATGGTCTAGATTTGTTGACTGGTAGACTTCCCTGTCGGGTAATTGTTATCTACCTGGACTTTTGTTGGGGTAGCTGAAATGGCGGTGTTTTGTTAGGTGTTTTTTGAGTCATTTACTTTAGAGAAAAATCCTCCAAGCTCCTCCTTAGAGGATATGAGTCTAGTGCCAGTGTGCTGAGAACAAATTCAGGGAAGAGCATATCATTAAGGAGGGAAGAGACAAAAAACAGAGGACGTGGTTGAAAGTCAGTAAACCAAGCATGGTAAGGTTAAGTCTTGCTTCCTGAAACATATTTCACGCCAGGTGCAGTGGCTGACACCTGTTCCCAGTACTTTGGGAGGCCAAGGAGGGAGAATCACTTGAGCCCCAGGGGTTCGAGACCAGCTCTGGTAACACAGGGAGACTTCTTCTCTACAAAAATGAAACCAGAGAGAGAAAAAAAAAAAACGTGTTTCAGGTCTGTGTCTGTGTAAAACAAAGATGATTGCAGTTTACAGTCAGAAATCCAGAGACTGAAGGCTATAGCTTTAGGGATCTTATATGGATCAGAGAGTATTAGTATCACATCAGCTGACATTTTATTGAGTGCCTACTTTGCATGTGGCTTACACGTTATTTCATCTTAACTCTCTACAACAACTTCGTGAGGTAGGTATTAGGTGTATTTTACAGATGAAAACATTGTGGCTTAGAGAGGGTAACTTTTCCAAAGATTGCACAGCTAATAAATAGGACATAGCATGAGTTCCATTCCAGATTTGTTTGACTTTGTAGCTCATACTTGTGAGAATTATGCAGTCAACTAGAACTTTCCAATATGTAATAGCATTTTAAAAAGTATAGCCAGCCGGATGCGGTGGCTCATGCCTGTAATCCCAGCACTTTGGGAGGCTGAGGCGGGTGGATCACGAGGTCGAGAGATCGAGACCATCTTGGCCAACATGGTGAAATCCCGTCTCTACTAAAAAATAAAAAAATTAGCTGGCGTAGTGGCGGGCGCCTGTAGTCCCAGTTACTGGGGCTGAGGCAGGAGAATCGCTTGAACCCAGGAGGCAGAGGTTTCAGTGAGCCGAGATCGTGCTACTGCACTCCAGCCTGGTGACAGAGCAAGACTCCGTCTCAAAAAAAAAAAAAAAAAAAAAAAAAAAAAAATATATATATATATATATATATGTATGTGTGTGTATATATGTGTGTGTGTGTATCTATATGTGTGTGTATATATATAACCAAGTTGATTGCAAATTAGGTTTATGGCCCAGAAAAATCTCTACTTCTTTATTTACCAATTTTTTTTTTTAACCAAATATTACCTTTATTTACCAAATATTCTTTATTTACCAAAAAATTATCCAAAATCTAAATGCAAGAGGTCTGAGGTCATTATGCCTGGGCTTATACTGTATTGCTCTGCCACTATTTAGCTGTGTAACCTTAGGCAATTTACCTAACCACTCTGAGTTTTATTTTCCTCATTTCTGAAAGTGAGGCATGCCAGTTTCTTTCATTAAATGTTAACTTCCACTGAAAGAAGTTAACTTTAATTAAAAATCTGTACTCATAGGAAAGGAAGGCTGTTGGTGAATTGAGAACCCTGACACAAAAGTTGTTGATGCATGAGAACTGGAACATTACAAGTCAACAAAGAGTATAGGGGAGGGCATGGAGCTCTGTAAAGCCAATAGGCCAGGATTCTGGCATGCTGGTTCATTATGGTATTTGGTCAACTTTGAGCTCTAATTGTCAGCTTTTACATTTTTTTTTTCTTTTTCTCTGAATATGAAATGGTTTCCTTGGGATTCTGGAGATTGGAAAATGTTTAATGTTGCTATTCTGACTTGAAAGGCAACATGTGTATGGCTATCAACCATCCTAAATTAGAGCTAGGGGCTTTGGCATAGATACTAGAATGGGAAGTAAACAATACTCTACTTTTTCTCTACTTCTCATTCAAACCTGCTTAATGAATGAACCTAAGCCTTTGCTTAGGATAAAAAGTAATTGAAATGTAAGTGTTTTATTTTTAAGCTGTGCCCTGATGTATTTGCATGGGATACAAAGTTATAGCAGTATGCAAATCTGGGACATGTGAGTCTAAAAATAATCTTGAAACAGTAGCTTGTAAATTCTCTGTACGTTCATTGATTTAGTTTCAAATAACATTGAATAGTCAGGAAGGACATAGCAGTGAGATGTAATACCGTGTTCTTCTATTGCAGTGGGTAATTCCAGAATTGATTGGCCATACCATTGTCACTGTATTAATGCTCATTTCATTGCACTGGTTCATTTTCCTTCTCAACTTACCTGTTGCCACTTGGAATATATATCGGTGAGTACAATTTTAGTTTGGTGTCAAGGCAGTTAAAAAAATTTTTTAAAAAATGTTTTTTTTTTCAAGACAGGATCTTACTCTATTACCCAGGCTGGAGTGCAGTGGTGCAATCTCAGCTCACTGCAATTTCTGCCTCCTCAGTTCAAGCGATTCTCCTACTTCAGCCTCCCAAATAGCTGGGACTACAGGCGTGCACCACCACGGCTAATTTTTGTATTTTTACTAGAGACAGGGTTTAACCATGTTGGCCAGGCTGGTCTTGAACTCCTGACCTAAGTGATCCTCCTGCCTCAGCTTCCCAAAGTGCTGAGATTATTTATAGGCGTGTCCCAAAAAAAGGTGTTTAATAGCTTTCTTGTTGTTATTGTTGGAGATGGCGTCTCACTCTGTCACCCAGGCTGGAGTGCAGTGGCTTGATTTCAGCTCACTACAACCTCTGCCTCCCAGGTTCAAGCCATTCTCCTGCCTCAGCCTCCTGAGTAGCTAGGATTCAGGTGCCTGCCACAATGCCTGGCTAATTTTTGTATTTTTAGTAGTCAGGGTTTCACTGTGTTGGTCAGGCTGGTCTCAAACGCCTGACCTCAAGTGATCCTCCCACCTCTGTCTCCCAAAGTGCGGGGATTACAGGCGTGAGTCACAGTGCTGGGCTGGAAGTACATTTAAACGAAAGTACATTAGGGCTGGGCACAGTGGCTCACGCCTGTAATCCTACCACTTTGGGAGGCTGAGGTGGGCAGATCACGAGGTCAGGAGATTGAGACCATCCTGGCAAACACGGTGAAACCCCATCTCTACTAAAAATACAACAACAAAAATTAACTGGGTGTGGTGGCGTGCGCCTCTAGTCCCAGCTACTTGGGATGTTGAGGCAGGAGAATAGCATGAACCCGGGAGGTGGAGCTTGAAGTGAGCTGAGATCAGGCCACTGCAACCAGCCTGGGTGACAGAGCAAGACTCTGTCTCAAAAAAAAAAAAAAAAAAAGCTGCAAATTAGGTAACTAATCAACATTTTTGACTTAATAAATTTAGGAAGTTTGTTCAAAGTGAGCTCAATGGAAACCCTGACTGTATATAATTTTATAGTTGGGCTATTATACGTAGCATACTTTCTTGTGAAGACCGCTGGGATAATCTTGACAAGCCTGCAATTGTTATATTAGTGGGTTGCTGCTTTACTACATTTTTAGGTTTTATTTATTTTTATTTATGTCTAGTTTTTTGGGACAGAATCATTCATTGGCTGATTTTTAAGTATGATGTTGTAAAGTGCAGTTAGAATAAAAAGAACATAGGAAAAAATAAAGTAGGGTTTGGAGGAAGATTGGGATGCATATGAAAAGATAATGGCAGCAGTAGAGATGAGGGAAGGAGTGGATATGGGGGAATGATTTTATAAAGGTCATTAAACTAGAATCTGAGTAAGGGAAAAGCTTTAAAGTATCTGTGTCTCTTTTATAGAGGGTGGGTATCCTGGGGTAGAATTTTTTGTTTTCTTTTTCTTTTTTTAATATACTGAACATGGGTTCTGAATTTTTTTTTTTTTTTTTTAAGAGATGAAGTCTTGCTGTGTTGCTCAGGCTGGAATGCAATGGCTGTTCACAGGCGTGATATAGTGCACTACAGCCTTGAACTCCTGGGCTGAAGCGATCTTCCTACGTCAGCCTTCTGAGTAGTTGGGACTACAGGTGCATACCACTGCACCTGGCCTCTTTCAAGCTTAATAGTACTCTCCCATGATCAGTTCCACAGACCAATGCCCTCAAGTGAGCTCTGAGCTGGGAACACAGATTACTTGCACTTCTGCTGAGGGCTAGTCCCAGGCAGACTTTTAGCACAGCTAAGTCTCCCTATAGTTTCACTAAGTGAAACACAACTTTGGGAGTGAGAATGGGAACTCGAACCTTTGAGAATGTGGATCTTAATGTTATACCAGCCCATCCTGTCAGTCATCTCTACTAGAAATGAAAACCTGCTAGAAGAGCCAGCTTTGGCATGGCTTCTTTGTAGATAGTGGTAAAAGGCTCTATGAAGTCAAGTCCAAAGATTCTTTTTTTAGACCGGGCATGGTGGCCTACGCCTATAATCCCAGCACTTTAAGAGCCTGAGGTGGGTGGATCACCTGAGGTCAGGAGTTCAAGACCAGCCTGGCTAACATGGTGAAACCGCATCTCTACTAAAAATACAAAAATTAGCCGGGTGTGGTGGCATGTGCTTGTAGTCTCAGCTACTTGGGGGGCCGAGGCAGGAGAACTGCTTGAACCTGGGAGGCGGAGGTTACAGTGAGCCGAGATTGCCCCATTGCACTCCAGCCTGGGCAACAGAGCGAGATCCAGTCTCAAAAAAAAAAAAACAAAACAAAACACCAAAGATTCTTTTTTTGATATAATTGTAAAGACAAAGATCATGTATATTTATTGCCCTGGTAACTGCAGTGACAGGTTGGCTGTCTGCTGGTCACAAGTTTACCTCCTATTTAAAAAGATTTAAAAAATCAACAGATTGATTATTTGCTATTTTCAGACCACTGTACTTTATGCTGTTGGAGATAAAGTACAGTAGTCCACAGGACAAAGAGGCAAAATACCTAGGAAGTGGAATCACTTGAGTCATATAGTAACTCTATATTTACCCTTTTGAAGAACTGCCTGAGTGTTTTCAGAAGCAGCTGCACTTTTTTTTTTTTTTTTTTTTTTTGAGACAAAGTCTTACTCTATTGCCCAGGCTGGAGTGCAGTGGCGTGATCTTGGATTACTACAGCCTCAACCTCCTGGGCTCAAGCGATCCTCCCACCTCAGCCACCCAAAGTGTTGGGATTACAGGCGTGAGCCACTGTGCCCAGCCATAGCTGCACTATTTGACATTCCCACAAACTGTGTATTGGGGGTTCCATTTTCTCTACATCCTTGCCAACACTTTTTATTGTGTGTGTCTTTTTTTTTTTTTTTGATGGATATAAAAAAAATCAAAAACTGTCTTTGATATTTTTTTCCTGCCCTAGTAGAATACAGCTGTGAAGTTCCACTGCCTGTTATAAGCATTAATATATGTGCCTCAGTGACCATCCCACTCGTGGTCTTTGGGGAATCATACCACTAGCAGCAGCTCTCAGCAACTTTTATCCAAATTGTGCTGATCTGTCTTGGCAATAAGTAATTTCGGTGTGATGCTCATTCTCCAGCATGCTAAATGGTCTGTTACGGTAAAGTTTTATCAGTCTTCTAGTTATAACACACTGGAAGTAAGAATTAATATGAAAGATTGGCTGTCAGACACTGGAAACCTTATATAGTCCTATTTTAGATTATTCCTGTGTGTTTTAGAGGTGAGCACAGTGGCTCACTCCTGTAATCCCAGCACTTTGGGAGGCCAAGGTGGGAGGATCACCTGAGGTCAGGAGTTCAGGACCATCTTGGCCAACATGGGGAGACCCCATCTCTACTAAAAATACAAAAATTAGCCAGGTGTGGTGGTGTTGGGCACCTGTAATCCCAGCTACTCAGGAGGCTGAGGCAGGAGAATTGCTTGAATCCAGGAGGAGGAGGTTGCGGTGAGCCGAGATCGTGCCACTGCACTCCAGCCTGGGCAATAGAGTGAGATTATGTCTAAAAATAATAATAATAATAAACTGAAAAAAGTATAATTGGATTGTTTGTAACACAAGGATAAATGCTTGAGGTAATGGATACCCCATTTACCCTAATGTGATTTTTTTTTTTTTTTTGAGACGGAGTTTCGCTCTTGTTGCCCAGGCTGGAGTGCGATGCTGCAATCTTGGCTCATTGCAACCTCTGCCTTCCGGGTTGCAGAGGTTGTGGGATTACAGGCATGCGCCACCACGCCTGGCTAATTTTGTATTTTTAGTAGAGATGGGATTTCTCCATGTTGGTCAGGTTGGTCTCGAACTCTCAACCTCAGGCGATCCTCCCGCCTTGGCCTCCCAAAGTGCTGGGATTACAGTCATGAGCCACTGTGCCTGGCCTTACCCTGATGGTATTATTACACATTGCATGTCTGTATCAAAATATCTCATGTAACCCATAAATATATGTACCTACTATGTACCCCCAAAAATTAAAAATAAAAATCTAAAAAGGAAAAAAAAGGAGACAGCTAAGTAAGTGGTGGTAGGAAGAAAGACTGGACAAGGGTTTGATGGACTGGCTGTGAAAGATGAAGAGAGAAGTCCCAGTTGGGTAAGAGGAAGTTTTTAAGGACCACCAAGAAAATGGTGACACTCTTATTAGATAACCTAGAAATTAGACAAGGATGAGATGTTATCTGGATATTCAAATGAAAATACCTTCTATTCAGCTATAGTTGGGCTACTGGGGTTTTAAGGAGAATTTCAGATTTGTGGAACTCAGAGAATCCTTTGCATTTCAAAGAAGTGATAATTGAGAAGCTATGTGACAAGTGAGATATCTAAGGTTGTACTAGAAGAAGCTTAGACGTGAGAGCAGGAAGAATTCATGGACAGTGCTAGGTTAGGACATATATGTTACACAGATGACACAGTCTGGATGTTGAAGCCCAGACACTTAAACTGATTGATCCTCTCAAAGTAACCTAACTTCCTTAATTTCCCTATTTCCATAACGAAGTTTCTAAGAACTTAATAAAATTGGTTTGGGTTTGGAGCCTCCTTTAACCTTTGTCTAATGGAAAAGGGCTGTAGATATGACTGGTATGGTAGTTTTCTACAGATGAGTAAAAGGGTTTCAGTGCATAAAATACCCTTATCTGGAATGTTACTGTATTTTATTTTAGAGGGCAGAAAATTAGCAGTATTGTAACTTTCAAAAGGAAGCTAAGTGGCAGCCCATGACATTATCATACTACTCTGTCCATATGTGGTATGAATGTAAGGTTGCTATGATTGGCTCCCTTTTTTTTTTTTTTAGATGGAGTTTTGCTCTGTCACCCAGGCTGGGGCTCAGTGGTGCAATCTTGGCTCACTGCAACCTCTGCCTTCCGGGTTCAGGTGATTCTCCTGCCTCAGCTTCTCCAATAGCTGGGATTTCAGGTGCCCACCACCATGCCCAGCTAATTTTTGTATTTTTAGTAGAGACAGGGTTTCACCATGTTGGCCAGGCTGGTCTTGAACTCCTGAGCTCAAGTGATCCACCTGCCTCGGCCTCCCAAATTGCTGGGATTACAGGCATGAGCCACAGTACCGGGCCTAACTGGTTCACTTTTAAAAGTCGATTATTATTGGCTACTTATATTTGAATACTTATGCCTATGATTTGATTTTCCTTCTAATGTGTGTGTCCTTTAATTTATCAGATACATTATGGTGCCGAGTGGTAACATGGGAGTGTTTGATCCAACAGAAATACACAATCGAGGGCAGCTGAAGTCACACATGAAGGAAGCCATGATCAAGCTTGGATTCCACTTGCTCTGCTTCTTCATGTATCTTTATAGGTGAGTTTAAAATCCTAGTATTTTCCTAGATGCAATATTTGCTTTTGAAGGGTGAGATATTACTATACTATAGGATTGTGCATTGACATTGTGGAACTTTTGGGGATTATGTAAATTCCTTGTGGCTGTGTAGATTATTTATGTATGTCATTGAATCAGCTTTCTGTCTGAACTACAGTAGATCTGCCCTGTGGCATCTTAGTTATGCCTTAGCTGTTGAGGCTATCAATATGCTTAAAACTGGGCACGGTGGCTCACGCCTGTAATCCCAGCACTTTGGGAGGCCCAGGCGGGCAGATCACCTGAAGTCGGGAGTTCGAGACCAGCCTGACCAACATGGAGAAGCTTGTCTCTACTAAAAATACAAAATTAGCTGAGCGTTGTGGCGGGTGCCTGTAATCCCAGCTACTCGGGAGACTGAGGCAGGAGACTCAGTTCAACCTGGGAAGCAAAGGTTGTGGTGAGCCGAGAATGCACCATGGCACTCAAACCTAGGCAACAAGAGTGAAACTCCATCTCAAAAAAAAAACTGTCTTTGATATTTTTTTCCTGCCCTAGTAGAATACAGCTGTGAAGTTCCACTGCCTGTTATAAGCATTAATATATGTGCCTCAGTGACCATCCCACTCGTGGTCTTTGGGGAATCATACCACTAGCAGCAGCTCTCAGCAACTTTTATCCAAATTGTGCTGATCTGTCTTGGCAATAAGTAATTTAGGTGTGATGCTCATTCTCCAGCATGCTAAATGGTCTTATGGTAAAGTTTTATCAGTCTTCTAGTTATAACACACTGGAAGTAAGAATTAATATGAAAGATTGGCTGTCAGACACTGGAAACCTTGTATAGTCCTGTTTTAAATTATTTCTGTATGTTTTAGAGGTGAACATGCCACCTTTTCCTTTATCCATCATAGATGCCTAGAATAGAGCAAAGGAGAAACAAAATTCCTGTGTATATGATTTGATTAAACCTTTGAAAAGCTAGAAGTCAGGCTTAACCTTTGTATGAAAGCTTTAATTAGATCATTTTTATTTTTCCCCCTTGGTAGAGTTTAATTTTTCACACAGGCGTAAGGACTATTAGGAAAAATTTAATGTTGAAGTAAACTTCTACCACTCAGAAAATTCTTGATTAGAAACTGCATAGAGATAGCAATTTTTTCGTTTGTTTTCTTTGTTTTGTTTTGTTTTTCGAGGCAGAGTCTCGCTGTGTCACGCAGGCTGGAGTGCAGTGGTGCAATCTCAGCTCACTGCAACCTCTGCCCCCCAGGTTCAAGCGATTCTCCTGCCTCAGCCTCCCAAGTAGCTGGGACTACAGATATGTGCCACCATACCTGGCTAATTTTTTTTTTTTTTTTGTATTTTTAGTAGAGACGGGGTTTCAGTACATGAGCCACTGTGCCCGGCTGAGATAGCAGTTTTTAAAAATTGCTGTTTTGTTTGAAATAGTTTAGAAGTCAGAACCATTTTAGCCTCTTCCTGACAAAGCAGGCTTCCTAAAATCCCTTCACTGTGCTAAATCCACCCATTAGTAGATTAGATTAAAATTGGAGTTTAGATAGTTTTCTTTTCACCATTCATCTTATTTGCTTTTCTGTATTTTAAAAACTAGATCAGAAAAAACACACTGGTATCAGTTTCTGGTTCTCATACCCTACCTCATTACTAATATGCTTAGTTTTTTAATCCAAGTATCAAAGATGATGAATAAGGAGCAAAAAAAGTTTATGAGAACATAATGAGGCACCTGTTCTTGTTTTTAATACTTTTGTATCTTTACTGTCATATATGTTCTTTTATATTTGTTTCTGAAGAGACAAAAAACAAGCTGGTATTGGCTTAGCTAAGGTTATCCTTTTTTCATCCTCCCCACCTCTGCGGTTTCATGCTGTTGGAAAGTAAACTAGAAAAGGCATCCCCTGGGGGCGGTGCTGTAGGTACAGCCCATGTAGTCATACTTTGGGGAGGAAATTTAGGCTTGGAGAGCAGTATCTTGCTTCGTAGACTCAAAAGTCTTAGGATTTAAAAATGTATATGAGTTTCTGAACTCTTAGTCATTGAATTTAAAGTAGTGAAGAGTTGGACTGGAGGAATTAAGATGTAATTTTGGGGCAGGTTTAAGATACTGTTCTTTATAACTAAATAAAAGATAGGCAACTCATGTAACTGTTTTGCCTGGGCAGGTGTGTACTTCACTGGCTGTACCGTTTTCTTTTCTCTCTTCCCTTCCTTTCCTTTCCCTATTAGCCTGTTATTTTCAGCCACATTGCTATTACCTTACCCTTTGGTGTTACATATAGTTCAAAGGGTCAGAAGGTATCCTTGTAGCACTTTTCTCTTGGTTTTTGGTTGCTGTTTTTAAACAGTGGTTTTGCTGTTAATACCAAGTCATTAGCTTTTGATTGCAGAGATTTTATGCTACTTGTCTTTGTATCTAACACCTACCACACTCTGCCTAATTCCTTACGCCTAGTTGACATTTCAGGGCTTGTTGAATACAATTAAAGTTTTGAAAAAATGCTCATCTTCTTTAGAGAATAGGGGAATCCATGCTTTTGGTTTTTTGATTGGGTGCTAGCCTAGTGGAATGTGGGCTCCATCACTTACATTGTGGCCTGGGGCAAGTTTCGTTTCTTTCTTTTTTTTTTTCTTTTGAGGCAGAGTCTCACTCTGTCCCCCAGGCTGGAGTGCAGTGGCACGATCTCAGCTCACTGCAGCCTCCACCTCCCGGATTCCAGGGATTCTCCTGCTTCAGCCTCCTGCATAACTGGGGTTATAGGTGCACTCCACCATGTCCAGCTAATTTTTGTATCTTTAGTAGATCTGGGGTTTCACCATGTTGGTCAGGTGATCCACCTGCCTTGGCCTCCCAAAATGCTAGGATTACAGGCCTGGGCCACCACACCTGGCCTGGGGCAAGTTTCTTAACCTCTCTGAGCCTCAGTTTCTGATCTGAAAGGGGGATATTAATGATATTAATAGTACCTACCTCATCACAGGGCCGGGCGCGGTGGCTCATGCCTGTAATCCCAGCACTTTGGGAGGCCGAGGAGGGTGGATCACGAGGTCAGGAGATTGAGACCATCCTGGCTAACACGGTGAAATCCCATCTCTACAAAAAATAAAAAAATTAGATGCGAGTGGTGGCAGGTGCCTGTAGCTCCAGTTACTCAGGAGGCTGAGGCAGGAGAATGGCATGAACCCAGGAGGCGGAGCTTGCAGTGAGCCAAGATCACGCCACTGTACTCCAGCCTGGGCGACAGAGCGAGACTCCTACTAAAAATAAAAAAAAAAGCTGGGTACGGTGTCTCATGCCTATAATCCCAGCACTTTGAGAGGCCAAGGCGGGCGGATCACAAGGTCAGGAGATCAAAACCATCCTGCTAACACGGTGAAACCCCGTCTCTACTAAAAATACAAAAATTAGCTGGGAGCAAGACTCCGTCTCAAAAAAAAAAAATAGTCACATTTTAACGTGGACTAAGTGAGATAATACATGTGAGACACTTAGGTTTATGCTGACCCATAGTAAACTCTCAAAAATCTTTTAAAAATATTAGCTACTATCATTAATTTTTACCGTGCATTGAGTACATTTAGTATGGTTGAGTTTGGACAATTGTTTATACCATTAGTGATGTAAGGATATTTCTGTGTATTTTGATTTCAGCAGAGCAAGGCTGATCCCAGTATTTCAAAGGAAAGGATGGTTTTGTTATTGTTAACTGTCAGTGTTAGTGGCATAGCATTTATTAGGTGGCTGCTGTGTGTCAGACATTGCGTACAGCATTGCAAGTGACACAAAGGAGCAGCACAGAATCCCTACAGTAAAAGCTTGGAGCTTGGTCATTGCAGGTTCAGGTGCTAGTAGAACATTAAAGTGGTGATGCTTGGGCCCTGCTCTCATCTCAGAGTTGCTCACAGTCCAGTGGTAGAGACAACATGTAAGCCATAGCAACAGGAAGAAGAGCTGTGGAAGGAGGCTGTGCAACTGCCCTGGGCAGAGAGGCCAGCTTCCCTAGCGAGGTGCCGTAGAGCTAATCACAAAACCTGAGTAAGAAGTTACTGCTTTGATGGAGTGTTGGGATGGGGAGAAGAGGTTCCAGGCATTAGCATAGAACAGTATGTATCTGGCTAGAGAATTTAGAATTTTTTTTCTGGACATAGGTGTTTTTTTTTGTTTTGTTTTGTTGTTTTTTTTAACTGACTGAGCTAGGTTTTTGTTTGTTTGTTTTTTGTTTTTTTTTTAAACTATAGCCTAACATAGGTTTTAAGTTATACTTCCCCTAACTCCCCACCCCCAGTCACTCTTTTTTAGTGAAAAAGTTTGGACATGAAAGATCCTGATATATTCTTTCCTTTGGGTATGAATGATTGTCTTTTACTCAAATGATTGTTCCTTCATGGACCTTAGGGACGCAAGTCTGGACAAACCAGGCTCTGGAGGAACATTCCTGTGAAAACATTAGTAACATTAATTTCTTCTTTCCACAGTATGATCTTAGCTTTGATAAATGACTGAAGCTGGAGAAGCCGTGGTTGAAGTCAGCCTACACTACAGTGCACAGTTGAGGAGCCAGAGACTTCTTAAATCATCCTTAGAACCGTGACCATAGCAGTATATATTTTCCTCTTTGAACAAAAAACTATTTTTGCTGTATTTTTACCATATAAAGTATTTGAAAACTATGAATTGAGTTTCTGTAGATTTCTAGTTCTCAACTTTAGCCTGAATGCCAACACTTGAAGGTGTTTTTCATCATCTGTATGTCGAAGGTGGTTATTTGTATGTAGGAATGGGACTGCCATCCCAGCTTTGCATGCCAAAGAAATAAAGAACACACTTTAAAGGGCAAACTGAAGAGATGAGCGAGCAAAGAAAGGTGCCCTTCAGGTCTACTGAAAAGTTAGAGTACAAAGAACACTGTTGATCTGGACAGAAGAAGAAAAATTTAATTACCCTTTTTGCCTGTGTTGTGGCAACTTCATTTAATATGGTTTAAAGATTTATGAGACTGTCAGCTAAAAGTCTTTTCACAAGAATGTCAACAGAAAATGGCATTTCAAAATATATATATTTCTTTGTACAATTTGTGAAACCTTATAAGCCATTTTCCCCAGGTACAATGTAGTTCCTGCTGATAGAAAGGAAATATTTTGTCAAGAGCTTTCATTTAAAAGCCACTACCTCCATAATCACCCCCAAACCCAGAAAATCCCCACTGGCTCTTGCCAGTCTGGTTTTCATATTGTAGTTTTTCCAATTGTATTTGATCTCCCTGATAATGTATTTTAATGTGTTTGGGTAGAAGATGCCAATCAGGTTGGAAGCAGGAGTAGTCATTCACTGTTCGTGAAATTGAGCCTTTTGGTGCGCCACGTGGTGCCAGATTAACCCTTCTATCCTTCTGCACTGACCACGCTGTGAGTTGGGAGACCAAATACAAGCCATTTCATGGACATAGCAATACACAACCAAACTCTGTTCCTTGGAGCTATATTGTAAACTCTTGCAGTTGGGAGAGGAGTTCACCTCCTCAGCTGTTTGCTAGCTCTTACAGGGTAAAATAAACCTGGCAATTTATCCTCAGTCCTAGTTTGTGCTTTAATGTTGCTATCTTAAGCACTGGCATTTGGGCAAAACATGACTGTTCAGTGGGAGAATCCAAAGGTATTATTCACTCTAGTTGAGATATAATTGGGTAGCTAAACAGGGCGTGTGGTCCCCAAAAGATTAAAGGTTGCATGTCCATTTAGTCCTGGACTAGGTCTAGCCTTGGCAGAAGCAAAAGAGCCACTAAGCCAAACTCCCTGTACAGACAGACCATGTTTCAAGGCTGGAAGTAGTGCCATGGCAATACACAAAAGTAACGGTGAAATGGTAGGCAAAGGGAACTTGGCTCTGTTGGGCTCTTTGGGGGTCACAGAAATTGCTCCTTGTGGTAATCTTATATTTCTGTCTCTGTCAGGCACAGGGCCAAGAAGGTGTGTAACAGACATTACTTTTCTTGCATCTCTTTTTCATACCTTTTTCCTCTGAGGCAGCTTTTGCTTAGAAAATAGTCCCTTCACTCTGCCTTTCCTCCTAACTTCCTGTGCCTCTTCATGTTCTGCTCAAGCTTTTTAAAGCAACGAAGCTGTTGGAGAACTTAAATCCTCGCAACTGAGAGACAAACTACTTAAACTCAAAGGTGGTAGAGATCTTTTTTTTTTTTTTTGAGATGGGGTCCCGCTGTGTCGCCCAGGCTGGAGTGCAGTGGTGTGATCTCAGCTCACTGCAACCTCTGCTTTCTGGGTTCAAGCGATTCTCCTGCCTCAGCCTCCCAAGTAGCTGGAATTGCAGCTAGCTACTCCTGGCTAATTTTTGTATTTTTAGTAGAGACGGGGTTTCACCATGTTGGCCAGGCTGGTCTCAAACTCCCAACCTCAAATGATCTGCCTGCCTTGGTCTCCCAAAGTGCTGGGATTACAGGCGTGAGCCACTGCACCCGGCCATGTAGAGGACTTTTGACCAAAATGTTTCACCTTCTCATTCAGATATTCTCAGTTATCAAAATAGTGACCCATGCAGTTGAGAGAGCCTTTGGCTGTCAGTTTACAGTACGTCAGGCATAAGTTGCTGAGGCTAAGCAAGTCAGAAAGGTGCCATGTTTATAACAAAAGTCAGAAGCTCCTTACTTCTGAAACATTAACTGTGGTTAAAAACAAAAACCCCTTTTTTTTTTTTTTTGAGACAGAGTCTGGCTCTGTCGCCCAGGCTTGGAGTGCAGAGTGGCCGGATCTCAGCTCACTGCAAGCTCCGCCTCCCGGGTTCACGCCATTCTCCTGCCTCAGCCTCCTGAGTAGCTGGGACTACAGGCGCCCGCCACCTTGCCTGGCTAGTTTTTTGTATTTTTTTTTAGTAGAGACGGGGTTTCACCGTGTTAGCCAGGATGATCTCGATCTCCTGACCTAGTGATCTGCCCGTCTCGGCCTCCCAAAGTGCTGGGATTACAGGCTTGAGCCACCACGCCCGGCCCAAAAACCCTTCTTGTATTGCTTGTCTATCAAAGCCAGGAAAGTGGGGGATTACTGTAGTTAAATTTTTTTTTTTTTTTTTAAATTAGAGACAGGGTCTTGCCCTGTCCCCCAGGCTAGAGTGCACTGGCGCAATCATGGCATACTGCAGCCTTGAACTCCTGGACTCAAGCAATCCTTCTGCCTCAGCCTCCCAAGTAGCTGGGACTAGGTGCACACCACCATGCCCAGCGAATTTTTAAAACATTTTTTGTAGAGACAGAGGTCTTGCTATGTTGCCTAGGCTGCCATCAAATTACTGGCCTCAAGCGATTCTCCTGCCTCAGCCTCCCAAAGTGTTGGGATTACTGGTGTGAGCCACCACGCCCAGCTAAAAAAAATTTTTTTAGGGGCGCTTCTACAAATAATGAAAGGGGGATAAAAGCACTGACTTAAAAAAGCCATGGTTAAGATGCTATCAATTTTCTCCCCTTTTCATTGATTGGAGAGTTGTGGAGGACCTTAGAGATCATTTTGCCTAACTCCCTCATCCGAAAGACAAACTGAGGTCTAGAGATTGCTCAAGGTGTTGTGACTATGAACATCTGAATCCTGATGCTTAGACCAGTGTTCTTTCTCCCTTACCACTCCTCTTCCCCATGGCAGTACCCAGGGCCCAGTCCATAGACTACTATCGAGTACTCCTATGTGCATCTTTTTAGTACGTATCATTTTCCCTTGCCTTTTTCCTTCTATCCTGTCAGTGGTAGCAACTGCCCTTGCTAATCACCGTAACCTCAGCTGAGAGAGCAGAGGAAGCGAAATCCAAGATGCAGCTCAGTTCATCAAAGCCTAGCAGGTCCCCTCAGCTGCCTTTTCATGCCTGCCACACAGACTACAGTAGAACAAAACCTGACCTGGTCTTTGAAGCTAAGAGCTAAGAAAGCTTCCCATAGTAGTATTTCCCGTGGCACTTACCACATTCTAGCTGGTATTATAGTTATTTGTATGCAATTAATCTCTCTTTAGATTGTACGTTCCTGGAGGGCAGAGTATGCCTATTCATATTTGTATCTTCTTCTGTTCTTGGCACCTAACACAGTGCCTTGCACACAGAAATAAATGATTGTTGAGTGAATAAGTAAACCTGATTGTGGTGTTCTATTGCTTTTTCAGCAAGAAGTCAAACTGATGGCCTTTAAGTCAGAGAAGCAGCAATGGAGTTCACCATCTTTGTTTTCAAGGCAGTCATGTTATGAAATATTCTGACATGCTAGGCTAGGAAATGGCTATAATTGGTTTGCTTGAGACTGGAGAAATCAGCTTTGCTAACAGGTAATACTTTGTCAAGTAGTTGTGAAAAATATCATATACTAGGTGTAATTGTCCTCAAAATCTAAATAAACATTCTAATATATGTAAAAAGGCAGCAAGATAGAGAAGGTAAGTTTGAAATTCTACAATATCTGGATCTTTGTCACCTGAGTTTATGTACTTTAAAGCAAATATACTATTTTACTGTGTAGTATAGCAAAGATTGAAATATTCTTGGTAAATGAAGCCTTTTGGATCTAAGCCATATTTTTCATGAATGTTTGAAAAGGTAGTAACTTTTTTTTGCTTCAGCTAAATACAGTCTAATGACCAAAGGTCATTCAAAGCTTCCGGCTTATCATTCTTCACTACAGTAATCACAGTAATCATGGTCTGGACATGTTAAAGGGACTGTTCACTGAGCTAACTTGGTTCTGAGCTCAGGTGCTCTTTACTAAGTTCTTGGGTAAAGGCTGCTTTTATTTTTAATTGCTTCCCTCTGAAGCTGGGTGGAGAAGAGTGGGTGGGTGGGTGGTCGGAATCGGCAGGCTGAGAGAGAACTCAGTGGTTTGCGTGTGGCTTCCTCTGCTGTATATTTGGTTTGCTACATCCGTTATGGAGCAATCTTGGTTTCATCTATATCAGTTCCCATTAAACGTTAGCACCTAGTCAGAATGTGAGTTAGTTGAACATACATTTTAATTCCTGTTTTCTAGATCTTATTTCACAGGTTGGATGCAAACTGGGTGAGAGGTGAACCTCTTGTGTTGCTCAGTTAAAAGTGACACATTTGACTGCCACTGATATCTGTCAGGACTGAAGAGACCTGTGGGGCAGGGTGAATCCTCTGGGGTAGCTTTATATAAATTTGCCAATTTTCTGGGAGAGAGTAATAGGATTTACCCATGTTAGCTGGTAATTTTCTATTTTACCAGGTACAATAATCAACTTATGGCCATACTTGCTGATTCAAACAGCAGAGAAGAAAAATAAACTTACAGTCATTCTTATTTTATCCATTAACTACCACCTTCCTTGCCCTCCACCGCCCTCTGTTTTGAAGCAAACCCCAGACCTCATTACATCTGTAATATTTTAGTATGTTTCTTTGTAAGATAAGGGTTCTTAAAACACACGTGACTATAGTAGCAGTGTCACATATAAACTGTCAATTCCTTAGTATGAAGTATCTAGGCCAGGCACAGTGGCTCATGCCTGTAATCCCAGCACTTTGGAAAGCCAAGGTGGAAGGATCACTTCAGGCCAGGAGTTCGAGACACCCCTGGGCAACATAGTGAGACCCCCATCTCTTAAAAAAAAAAATTCAGCCGATATAGGCACCTATACAGTCCTAGCTACTTGGGAGGCTGAGGTGGAGTGATGGCTTGAGCCCAGGAGTTCAAGGTTACAGAGAGCTATGATCACATCTCTCTACTCTAGCCTGGGCAACAGAGCAAGACCCTGTCTCTTGAAAAAAAATTAAAATTTGTTGAGATTTCCCTCTACAAAACTTGAGTCTGTTTTACAATTAAAGCAGTCAGGCCAGGTGCAGTGACTCATGCCTGTAATCCCAGCACTTTAGGAGGCCGAGGTGGGCATATCACTTGAGGGAAGGAGTTCAAGACCAGCCTGGCCAACATGGTGAAACTTTGTCTCTACTAAAAATACAAAAATGGGGCACGGTGGCTCATGCCTGTAATCCCAGGGCTTCGGAAGGCCAAGGCGGGCGGCAAGGTCAGCAGTTCCAGACCAGCTTAACCAACATGGTGAAACCCCGTCTCTACTAAAAATATAAAAATTAGCTGGGTGTGATGGCGGGTGCCTGTAATCCCAGCTACTCGGGAGGCTGAGGCAGGAGAATCGCTTGAACCTGGCAGGCAGAGGTTGCAGTGAGCCACGATTGCACCACTGCACTCCAGCCTGGGCAACACAGCGAGACTCCATCTCAAAAAAAAAAAATAAAAATAAAAAATAAAAATTAGCCAGACATGGTGGTGCGTGTCTAGTCCCAGCTACTTGGAGACTGAGACATGATATAATCGCTTGAACCTGAGAGGTAGAGGTTGCAGTGAGCTGAGACCCGCCACTGCACTCCAGCCTGGGTGACAGAGCGAGACTGTTTAAAAACAAAAAAACAAAAAAACCCCGAAGCAATCAATGTGAAGGAGTCTCCTAATTTCAAGTGTCATTTACTTCTGTCAGTTAAGCAGTTCACTAGAATCAAAGTGGGGCCTTAAACTTTTCATCTATCTTTGACAAGTCTTAACAGTCAATTTTTCC